TATAATGATTTTCAGCCTTAGTGAATTCATTGCATTACCTCGGTAGGAACGACAACCTCGATAGTATACCAGGGCACCTGTTCTCAGTTTCGCTTGACTGACCGCAGTATGTATTATGTGTACAAAACCACTGTAATAAACTGTGAAAAAACTAGGCTCAGTAAATTCAGAGAATCATTTTGGCTCTGGCTCTCCGTCTATTATGAAGTCCACTTATGTATCAGAATCAAATTATTCTTCGACATGTTTTCAATGAATGATCTACGTCGTGACATGAAATTTGCAAATCTTTCGGAAGTGAGATCATTTACTACCTGAGTCCTCAGTTATCTCATCATTGATCCATATAAACTACACATATTCGTTTTTTCTTCAGTAGCTGAGTGATTGCAGCTATGGGATTTCAGAATCCTTTATGACGTTTTTCAAACTTGAAGTCACTTCTAGTTACAGTTCCTATCAACTTTAGTTATTTTCATTGCTGACAGTCATTCCCTCCAAGTGAAAATTTTGAATGTTGTCAAGTTGAGTTAGAACATTCTTAGACCAGTTGATTTGGTAATTTTGCAAACTTTATTTCAGCCAAAATTGATTCTTCAACCAACGTATCTTAGGGCGGAGAATTCAAATTTGATGATGGAATCATGGAAATTTGATATCCATCGAGATATTCCTCGAAAATAGTTGGTACTATGATCAGGAACATCTGTATATATGTATATGATACACGGAATTATGTAGGTATCAGTCAGATTGAAACTTTCCATTAATAATCATTGTTCTATGAACTATATTTGGAAATAGAAATGGTTGTGGTGTTAAAATAGAAGTGGGAACGCCTTATACATTCTACTAAACTTGTCCTGATAATAGTTTACTTTCTATCTCCCTTCATAGAACATCTCGATAAAAAGAAGTTTCACATTTACATTATGAAAAAATCATTTCCTTCATCAAAGTTCAATAAAGGGAAAATACTAACTTCCACCCCAATTAATCTAGAGTTCCTATTGTTACTTACCCCTAATACAAAAAAATCATGCTAATATAGTGACATAAAATGTGCCGGAACACTGGAAATTATGTAACATGAGATATATTTTTTCTACGGCTATAATACAAAATTGCTCTTGTTTTTCTGTGCTCGATACATCAATGAGGTACTTTGAATGTCATTAATTTTATTTCCGTATCTGATATCACAATGACTCCATTTTGTGTTATCATTTCAAAAAAATCTCATCGCTCATGGAATGTCGAATTGCGAGCAATGACAGCTCTGATGCAGGACGAAGAAATAAAAAATGCAGCTCTTATCTATTATAGCCGTAGAAAAAAGATTATGTATAACTTGCACAGATTGCTAATTTCCCTCTTGAATGATTGCAGCATTCGCCTACGGCTCATGCACTTCGTTCTCGTGGGATATCACTATCCTTCCGTGCTCGTTAAACAATATACTATTGAAACGTCGTGACGATATTTGAAAAGTTTTTATAAACCTAGATGAGTATACATATTGACACGTTTTTTTTGTGAACCTCATTCAAAGCTGTTCTGAATAATCCAATATTTTGTCTCCCAATTTTAATATTTTCGATTGTTCATCGAACAAATATGTTGCACTACTCCGTTCTTCAATGAATTGATCAATTAAATAACCTAAATGCCTGAGAATGATGAAGTTCTATTCCTTGCTGTTTTTTTTTCATCTTGCTTGAATTCTATTAGAACACGAAATAGTTCAGTTGCGCAAAATGACCTTCGGTTTGAATTCGATATAAAATTCATGTTTTCATAATATCCAATTAAATGTTCTCATTATTCTACTGAGAAGAATGAGGGAATTCAATAGGGAACAAAACAGGATAACGAAGGATTATCATCAAATTGAATTTCGACAACTATAAAGGTCGATTGTTTTGACTGGTATTCACGTAGCATTCAAATCCTCAATATTCCAATTCACAGACCGCGCCCACAATACCAACCATAAACCATATAACAGAGCGACCAAGAATAGTTCATTGTTTCATGCGAAAGAATGATTGGATGTGGAAAGACTTTTCGAGGATAGGAGATAGGATAATAATTTACGCAGAAGCGACTTCAAGTTGCCACTACTAAATGACTAAACCGGATTCAACCGCTCCCGGATCTTTCCTTTGGACCTATTTGAAACAGCATGTATACATTAATAATCCAGAGACAAAACTCCAACTGAAAACCAATGTCTCAACTGATAGAGGTCCATATGCCAAAACACCGTGAATTTTGCGGAATGATACTTATGAGAGACGTGTTCGAATGAGCACAAATATATATGAAATATTCTGTACATCTGTAGGAAATAATCAAAATGATTTTCGAAATGAAGAAGTTTAACGATTCAAACCACGAATGTCATTTTGCGCCACCCTGTACTATAAATGTAAAAAATGAAATCACAACGTTTCAAATTCGAATAGGGACACAGCTACGTTATTATATTTCAAAGATGTTGAAGACCAAGTTTTAACTTACCACCATGCAAATTTTTGCCCCAACCATTCAATATATGTATGTATTAGTTCCATTCACCAATACCAATTTCAGATTGAAACACCTTCACCTACCCATTTTATTATCAAAATAGATTCCATTACCTTCGATGAGTTTTGTTATCGGAATGCACCAGAGACACCAACAGACCTGCATTGTTAGTTATACAACAGGTTGATTTTGCGAGCGAGAGGATTCGTTGGATACTCGTAATCACTTCAATAATCAAAATATGCAAGAACACAATCACGTGAATTCAATTCGAATGTGCATATAACTGAAACATATTACTAACATAACATGCGTGCAAGTATTTTTTACTGAAATATGCTGTAATACTTAACTTGAAAGAAAACACCATTTGAATACTGTCTGTAGGTTTATTGAGGAGGTGGTACGTTCATTATTCCAGATTTTTTGGAATTTTCTCTCCTCGTTTCTATAAAATGAATAAAAAAAAATTATTCTAAAATTGTTTTATCCGTCATCTATTCTATCATCATATATCAATATTATTTCAAAAATACGTGTAGCAAAGACAAATCAGATGATTCGCCCCAAAATGTCACTGCGTTTAAAAGATTTTCCTATCAGAGTGCCCAAAAGAATAATTCACCAGCTTGTCAGTGACAAAATTTGTATTGAAAAAGGTTTGGAGAAGAGAAATAAAGATATATAAGAAAAATATAAAATTTTCACTTAGCTTTGGACGTTTCGGGAACGAATCTGCTCCCGTTCTCAACATGAAAAATGGTTATTTGAGCAAATTCGTAATTGTCATGAAACTTTTCAGTTCTTAGTGAAAATTGGTGACGTTGGCAATCAAATGAGTTTCAGGATGTTGTCATTAATGAATCTTGAATTTACCATTTTCATTTCGAGATTTTAGTAGTGAATACCCTGTTCTATCTATATCAACTGAACAAGAAGCAATGCTATTGTCTCCGTTCAGAAGAATGCAAGCACATTCCTTGATTTTTCTCTTCTGGTTGTTATCGTCTTTTCCCATGATTTTAATAGTATTCCACTCTACCATATGTTTGTCCATCTTTAGTAAGGATATATGTTCAGCTAGTTTTGATTTGTCGCTGTGTCTTTTCTTTATTTTCCTTGTGTTTGTGGAAAGTTTTATACAGGTGAAACCAAGAGACCTATTTCAGTAAGGACGAAGAAACATAAATACAATATAAAGAAAAGACACATCGACAAATCAAAACTAGCTGAACATATCCTAACTGAAGATGGACAAAATATTCAAGAGTGGAATAATATTAAAATCATTGAAAAAGAAGATGACAACCAGAAGAGAAAATCAAGGAATCTGCTTGTATTCTTCTGAATGGAGACAATAGCATCGCTTCTTGTTCAGTTAATATAGATAGAACATGGTATTCACTACTGAAATGTGAAGATGAAAATGGTAAATTCAAGATTAATTGAAGAAAACATCCTGCAACATTTGATTGCCAACGTCACCCATTATCACTGAGAACTGAAAAGTTTCGAGACAAATACTAATTTGCTATTCAAATAACCATTATTTATATTGAAAACGGGAGCAGATTCGTTCCTGAAACGTCCTAAGCTAAGTGAAAATTCTAAATTACTTCTATATTCCTTTATTCCTCTTCTCCAAACCTTTTTCAATATAAATTGTCACTGACAAGCTAGTGAATTTTCCTTTTAGGCTATCTGATAGGGAAATTCTTCGAACGCAGTGACATTTTGGGGCAAATCATCTGATTTGTCCTTACGACTATTGAAATAATATTAATATTTTTATTTTATAGAAACGAGGAATTTCCAAAAAATCTGGAATAATGACCATCTGATTACCCTACAATTTCCTTGAACGTTCAAACATAGCACTCAGCGGCAAACTCGTCTAGCCAGTACTGACGTCATAATCATAATCACAATCCCTTCTTGTTTTGCCAGCTGCTTGGTTTCGTGAAAATATCAAGTAAATATTCCTTTATATTCGAATCCATCCAACTGTGGACTGTCCAAATGATTTATTATTCATTGCCAATCCTACAAGATAATAGCTGCAAAACATAGCGGCAAAATTAGGCAAATTCAAAATACGGGCCTACGCGACTGATGGAGACAAGTGTGAAAATTGACGCAGTCATTTTACAGCGTTGCAATTTTTCAAATACATCTCTTTCTAACTTATTTGAAAATTTGGATGTATGTATATGATTGTGAACATTTATGAATGATATGTTATGTCTCCTCTCTTTTTATATGTCGATGTAGAAATCAATGTAATCTAGAGAGCGATAAATGCTTAAATATACAAGCAAGCTGAAGAATCAGTTGAGACAGCAACGCTATTTATGTCACTGAATAAGTAATTGTGATGTCTGTACAGCTGACGATTCTCCGTCATTTTCTAATGAGAGTATTTTTTTGGGAATTCATTTTGGGAAATCTAGGAGGAGAAATAAAAAAAATCACTGTGCCTCCTCGTCGTTATTAACCAGGGCCTCTAAGAGTAGGCCCTGGATGAACGCCATAGTATTTTTCCTAGTAATTAGTGTTCTCGCCTATTGAAATATCTGTCATAATGACGTTTGAATAGATCAATAAGTTTTATTCTAAGAGTGTGATTACTGGTTTGTCCAGAAGTCCATCATCTAATAATAATCCAATCGCCCGCAAAATCGTTTTTAGTCAAAATTCGGACACTCACCAACATTTCGTCATCGGGAATTCGGGACAGAAGATCGAGAACTTCATTATTAGGTACTGCATGTGGTCTGAGGATTCTCCTAAGGAATTTGTTGGCACCCCAGAGCATCAGGAGGTATTTTAATGGCATTATATAAAGTACTACGGCGACTAGTACTAGTAAAACTATAGCAATCCAAGATAAGTATGGAACGGTAAAGTTGAACATACTGTGGAAGATAAAAACATGTAATTTTCATTAAATTGAGAATCGAGTTCATTTTTCATTATAAGCAATCCCAAGGATCAATATTGGAGTCTACATCTCCTTCCCAACCAAATGTTAATGTTAATCAAAAGTGGAGAGAGCAATGGCTTGCATCCAGCAAAATGATCACTGCAACGATTCATCTGATCTGGCTTCTCAAATAATTTACTTAATGATTCTCGAATATACACAAGATTTAAGTTTGTGAAGATTTGAAACAATAGGTCTGGAATGTGAGGTTAGAAAAGGGTTTTCGTTTCAAACCATTTTTTGATTTCCTTCAAAGAAAACGAGCAACAATTCAGTATTTTTTTGCAACTCTTCAAAATGTTTATATCAATAAGGAATAAGAACTTATTGATATCCATTCATTATATTTAGCTTACTTTTTAACGCCTTCTAATAATGAAGCTATCCTTCCGATAGCATTTTGCACACCTTGCGTAACTTCTTGTATGGCTTGTAACCTTTCCTTCAAACTCTTCTTCTCTTCTTTCTCTTTCAGCTCATCTTCCTCGTCTTCATCCAAATCTGAGTCGGCTGTCTCGTCCCAAGGGACTTGAATGGGCCCTGCCAAAGTCCTTATGCAATACTGCTTCAGGAATAATAGGAGGCCGAAGCAAGGGAGCATCCAGATTTTGAAGTAATAGCAGAGGATGAGCCAAACCACTAGTGCTGCGAAGCTTTGTAGTTTCGAATCCCACTCGAAACAGTTCCTGGGAAATTGAGTTCAAATAGAAGAGATTTCACAGCAATATTGGAGTTTTATATTGATCCATTTCCATAAGCTGTGTGAGGCATTGAAGATATTTCTTGTAGATATAGCAAAGGAACTATTCTGTATAAAATAGTTATTTATGCATTAAGTGCGAAAAATGAATGTTTTTGTAATGGCACATAAGAGTAATAATTTTCTCTCGAATGTGCAAGGAAAACACGAATTTTATACACGAAATACGAACAACATTTTTTGTACAACTGTGAATGTGAATTTACAAAAAATTTAGATTTCTAACAAAATAGTGTCCATCTTCTTCCAAACAAATTGAATTATCTGTTAAAACTGTGTAATCAACTCTTTAAGAATTATCTAACGTTTCTGGTCAGCAGCAACATTGAACATCTTTATGTTGGAAGTAATTATTCAAACTATACTATCAATTATTATTCTCATAATCGTTAAAAATAAATCCTTCATGAAGTAATATTTCATGTTTATATTGTGATCAGTTCGGCAGTGGAAAAAAATGCACGCATCAATAGAGATGCAGAAATGTCATTTTTTTATAGTTGTTCAGGAAACTATATTGTTCAACGAGCACGGAATGATAGTGATTATCCACGAGAATGAAGTGTGCAGCATGAGCCGTAGCATTCCGTTCGAGTCATACACTATAATTTTTCTACGGTTGTACAATAACAGCGACATGTTTGATTTTTTTCGTCTTGTAGCCGTCTGATTTCCTCTCAAATAATGGTCATCTATTAGAGAGAGCTGTCATTACTTGAAATTTGACATTCCCTGGGCGATGGAATTTTTCTGAAATAATAAACTTCATTCTCGTAGGAAATCACTATCATTCCATGCTCGTTAAACAATATACTATTGTATAACTAGTTTCTGAAAGTAAGTAGTTTAGGTACCCATACTCGAGTCAATAAATAATGGAAGTATCTAGTTGATTAGAGACTCTATAACGATTGCTGATTGGCTTACTCAGATTTTGAAGGACTAGAGGAAATGACTGAACAATCTGGTACTTACACATTGTATGACTCATGTTCTGACGCAGACAAAATTCTAAATGATACTCACTGAAAAAGTTTACTGAATTCGTAGAAGTACATGACGAACACTTTCAGTCTGAGGACATTTTTCACGAACACTTGTCGTTTGAATTTCACCTCTGTCTGCATGAATTTCTCTTCTTTGGGATTCAGAGTTCTGACACAAGCTCTGATGGGATTCCAAGCCATCGTTAGCTCCAGGAGAACCTGCGGTCCATTGCCTTTCGCTCTGCTCCTGAGTTTCTTGTCCTTTAAAGCGTACCATCTCTTCTCGCCGTTTCTTATCCTCAGGAGAGGAATGGCAACTTTACCTACAGTAGACAGCTGAAGTTATCCGATATTTTATGTTCTTGTTGGTAGAATGAATATATTTTTTCTGCAGCCGACAAAAAAGTCGTCCATTTTAATACCAAAATTAACTCTTGAATTGACGGTTTTATTACTGACTCGGTATGTTACTAGGCAACACATTTAGTTCCTAGGAGCTAAAGTTGAATTTTAGTTCCTAGGAGCTAGGAACTAAAAAGGATGTACTAGATGTTATCAAGAACAAACAACATCATTGCTACGGTTGGTTATTTGTTTTTTTTGCAAATACAGCACTGGGACCAAACGCCCTATAAGTCGAAACTTATGCGGGGTTAGGTAAGTATACAAACACAAACATCCATGGCCTACTTAGGATTCGAACCTATGTCTCGGTGGGAGTCTCCATACGAACTCAGCGCATTCACGCTCTCGACCACCGAGCCGCCTGATTTGTTTCCAATTACATAGCGATATTCATTCTGATTTCCAGCACGAACATTAGTGGTCGTTTGGAAACTTCTTCTTCTTCAATAAATAATGAAATAAAATATATTCCGACAGGACAAGATTCTTACAGTCTACTTCACCAAAACTATACTTTATCGTAATCAAATTATGGAATTACGGGACATGTTTCGAAGCTTCAAAGCTTCATTCGCTTTTAGTTACATGGGAGCACTAAAGTGAGAGAAAAATAGAGAGAAATGTCAGACAAACACTTCAACTACGACAGTTGAAAGAGACTCACCTGTTCTGGAGATGTTTAGTAGTAGATTGTTTTATTAGGATCAAAAGTCAAACAAAGTCACTTTCGATCCGAATGAAACATGCTATTTTTTCTGCAACCGAAACAATCAACCCAAATAAGTATGTGAAGTAACCACCAATGTCGTGCCATGCAATGAACAATTTTTTTTTTCTCAGAACAATATGTATGCAATGCAACAAATCAGAATCAATGCAAAATCCGTGTGGTGAGAATATTCTACCTGCATTAACAGCAGGTTTATTCAATTTCGAAGGATGTTCGGAATTCGGATTGTAGTTTCAATATAAATACAACCACAGAGTGACATATTTGTGTATGGACCAGGTACTCTAATGGCAAATACCGCGCCAGTACCAGGTATAGGAACAAGACGTGGAAAATGTTAGGTTAGTGAGCATATCAACAATAATAATAGCGATTGTTCATTCCTCACCATACGACACTGTCTTTTGACTTGATAATCAAATAAAGGAAAACAATATCGTTGTTTGAGACAAAAAACTATTGCTTGCCGTGATTATTCAAAAACAAGTTATCCATACCGAGAATAACGAATGAGATACAAATCAAGCAAGTATGTGAATCTTGAAGGCTTCCCATATCAAAACAAAAATATTCTCAACTGATATGTGTATAATTATCATACTTAACTATAAAAAGGTGTATTTATATCTCCAGCATGGGTATGAAATGCCAAATGTGCCGAAATCGGAAACAAATCAGGTATGCGTCCCAACCCAAATAACCACCCATAACAATGTTGTTCATTCTTGTTGACGTCACATCATTTATAGTTCCTATGAGCTGAAGTTCAACTTTAGCTCCTAGGAACTAGATATGTTGCCTAGAAACATACCTTTTTTGTGTCAGTAATAGAAACGTCAATTCAAGAGCTAATTTTGGTATCAAAATGGACGACTTTTGTGTTGGTTGCAGAAAAAAGTCTTCATTACCTAGAAACTCCACTTTATGATCTCGATCCTCATCGAATACAGTGACCTCTAGAACGTTATTGATGTCCTTGATGTTGAAGGTGAATATTTTATTCCAGCTGGGAGCCAGCGTCTTGTACTCTGTCTGCGTCTGAAGGCGAGCGTTCCCGAGCTCTAGGACGCAGAAAGGGTCGCTTTTGCCGCCCAGATCAGCAGCTGCAAGCCCTTGGGCTTTGAACACTTTGACGGTGAGATGGCCCACGTCTTTGAGATTGTGGAAGGTGCGATGCCAGATCTAATTGAACAACAGTTAGTAGTTTTATGAATATTACAAAAGTCATGGAAACCATCCCAGCAAACATCGAATCTCTGGCCGCCTTCTGGCCCAGAGTGCTGGCAATTGACTGAGCTGCAACGGGCGAACGTCGGCCCATTGTATGGTATATTATAATCGTTTATTTATAATCCAGCCAGCACTGGACCAGTGGTATCAAATCGTAATGCCATTTCACTACGTCGCCTGGACATCGGCCCTTCGTTTGGTATATTGAAATCGTATTCAACTGTAATCCAGCCGATATTACCCATCAGGCCTCTCCTGTGTAATTTCGATGGAAGATGGCTACATAAGTATCATAATTATGATGAAAAAATTTGAAACGAAATTTTATTTTGTGGTTGGAAATATTGGGAACTCAAGTTAACACATATAATATGTAAATAATGGAATATTTATTCTGCAAACTATATGATCAATAATAGTTTCCTAACGTTAAAATTGCATTTATACGTGAATTAAGTACCTAAACCCAATTGTTGAATGTTGACCAAAAATTCACCCCATTTTCAACACTGTTATTTTTATTGAAGTAGGTAGGTATATCTTCTAGTACTACCTATATATAAAGTGATGGAGATATAATGGATGTCAATTCACCTATTACCTATATTATTTTCCGTTCTTTTACATTCCGTTACGTATCCGATAGTTGCTGGCTGATTGGTAAATAAATAATCTATACCTATAATAAAATCATCATATTTCACTAAGGAATTCAATACAAACTCAAATTGTTATCTTTCATTATGATATTATGATTCACCTCAGCAAGAAATAAAATGGCTCAGTTGGCAAGATATTGGCTTAGTAATCCAAAGGTCGCAGGTTCAAACGCGGCGACCAGTCCCTTCTCTTATTCATTCCAACACGGCGTTACATATGTGGGGTCTGATGGACCCCAGCCGCCGAATATCGCTTCAAAAATATGCCAAACGTGAACTTATGCGTACGCCCCTCCTAATAGCTTCCAAAATATGTCCGCATCATTGAATTCAGACATCACTGCAGTACCTTGTAGACACTGAGTGAAATTATACGGGACTTAAGTGCTCTGGGGTGTGTCAAACCCCACCTATGTACTGACGTTCGTTATTTTGACATAATAGGTGAGTTGTTATTTTGGACTATTTTGGATCAATTTTTTTTCTTTCTGTTATTCAAGCTGCAATTATTTCTTTTAATATTTCATTATCATCAAATTTTAGTTTCAGAATGTTCATTCCGGGATGAGATGTTCAATTAATCTCACATGATTTTTTTTCACGGTATGTTTTTTGGTACATGAGAAAAAAGCCATTCTTAGTTTATATCAGAATTCTTGTAATAAAGCCTATTTGATTATTTCGTTCGTGTTTTTATTGTTCCTGGATGATCCCCTGAGACTATGGAACAACAAAATATCAGAAGAAAAAATGATTAAAATAATACAATTTTTCAGGTAATGGGGTTTGTCACACCCCAAGTATGTACTGGTGCGACAATTATCCACGTATTATTGCGTTACTACCGAGTAAGTTTCGGTGGTAACGCCTATATTGACGTCGTTTGCCTCTCTCTTGCCGTGTCTACAACTCCTGACAAGCAGGTTTTGGGCCGACGTAGTAACTACCTTGATTGTTTGCTGGGATGCATCCATTTTCAAAATGGTCCAGTATATTTCAAAAGGAGAAAAAAAAAACAAACTCAAAGTCGGTCGACCACGAAATTTATTATTAAACACTCATATGTGTGACTAGTTTCGCACCATGGACACAATAGCAAGGAAGAACTACCTGGAAATTATAAAGATCTTGAATTTGAGACAATATGCTAGCTGAGAAAGAACATATCTTTTTTTGAAGTAATAACTACTTAACTAAACAATTTTCAATCAGGTCGAATATGGAGAAATCTGTCCGTTTTGAGATAAAAAACTTCGAACGACTGAAGAGCCAAAAGGACTTAACTAGGAGTAAGTTTAACATCGGTAATTGAATTAAACGATAATTAATTAAAATGTACTCAAAGAGCGTCATTTCTATTCGAGGCAAGCCTTCAAAAGGAAAGACATAGAGAGGCATAATTGAAAATGTTGATTTGATTTTGACATTCGATATGACAGTGTTGACAAATTCGGAGTCAGAATGAAAACCATATATAAAAATGGGTAAAATCAAAGCAACCAGTATTGAAGTTGAAACTATTTAGTTAAATTGAAGTTATACAATGCATATATCATTGATGATAGAGCGAGAAGCGAAATATAATTAAAGGAAGCAGAGATGATTATTTCATGACTAAACTCGCCATTTCGCTGAGAATCGCGAAAAACACGTTTCAGGTGTCGGATCGATGGGGACTTTTCAGATTTCAATTGTGAGGATGCTTTGATCAATCCTACCAATTTCCAGCTTTCTGCGAATTTATGTAACCTCACTCGTATTTTTTGGTCCAACTTGACCGGATTATTCGTAGAATGAGTACTACAACCGATATTCTGCTCCTATAAGGACCAAATCTGCAATTTTCAACTTTCGAGAATAATGTACCTCTTCGAAGGCCTCTATCTTGAGATGTTCCGAACCCACAAAATCAAATGCGACTCAAGTTGTAAGGCAATTATAAAGCGTCTGGGCTAAAAACCGAAATTAGTCTGAAATCCGAGGTTTTTCGAGTATCACACTTCTAGCCTAGGTCATTCAAAGCAGCAGCCTTGGTTTATTACTATTGACACATAGCATAACATTATGTAAACAAGAGAAATGTGTGAATTTATGCGAACTTAGCCCGATTTTGTGTCTATTTTCAGCAGCCTAAATGGCAATAGAATGCATGTTTAACAAGTAGTGAAATAAACAACTCACTCAACGAGTGCTTATGTTGTGCCATCAAAAATCGAGTTGTCTTCTACTTTTCGAACGAATTCCATTTCATATTGAATTGGCAAACTTTTCTAAAAGTTAGTATAATCGTTGAATGGATAGGACTCGCAGCAGCTGGAATATTTGTGAATTCCTATAGGATTCTCACTCATGCTAATTTAACACTAATAATATCTTTGGGTGAACGTTTTTGAGGAAAACATAACTTCAGGGTGTGTATTTGAGAAGTGGTAGTTTCCTTGTGAAACATGTTTCGACAAAAATTAATTGAAATATGTTTCAAAGAAATACCTCAGAAAGTGTTCCACAAACCTTTCATCAATGTTTAGGAATCACAACCCATATTATGTATTTCAGTTCTTTCAAGATGACTTACGTATCGTTCAAGAATGGCTTGTCTTTCTCTTGGGTTCTCCTCATAAGTCGACAGGTCAGATATGGTTTCTGAAGCAGTGGTCCCACTTATGGTGAGAAGCAGATGGAGAGATCCTGCACCTTCTTCGAGCTCTTGCCAAATGCTGTGCGTTCGTTCCCTCTCTAGGGCTGAGAGGTTTATGGTACATCTGAGAAAATATCAACAACTATCACTACTGATACTAGGTACTGAGGAACATTGTTCAGCAATATCAATCTATATTCGAAGTGGCCAAGTTTCAGCTCTTACTATAGATATTTGTGAAGAAGATTAACAATGAAAATGAAAAATTTAATCTTAGAAATTGAATAACAAATAAGAAATCATAAAACGCGTGAATAAACAGCCATGAGAAATAGTTGATTTCCATTCTTGGTTGAACTGTCCATGAATCGAATTGAAGCAAACGAAAAAAGATAATTTAGAGTATTTCCCTAGCGATGTATGGATCAGATATGTCGGCGATATTTTAGCTATTTTTGATTCAAAATCTACGGATTTAAGTGACTCCACTTCAAAATTATTGAACAATCACTTTCCCTGCGGAAATAACGATGATAACCTCAGATTTTCTTGCAATCAAAAATGGCAGGAATAACTTAGAATTGTATGTTTTTAGAATGGAAGCAAACGTTGTGAGATAAATAAATAATGACTCCAATCAGTTTTCGGCACAAAATGGCAAGTTTAAATTTCCTCGTACATAGATTAGTGTCATTTCCTTTGAACAAAGAATAAGTGTTGTTCAGGAAGTATATAGCTGGTGTCAATGGATATTATATCAAAATAAGAAATAAACTGATTCGTAGACATAAATTCAAGTTAGTCCTTCGAAATTTTACGTCTTGTTAAGTTGATAGGAATATTTCGAAAATATTGCAATCCCTCTTAATCCCAAGTACCTATATGATAGGAAAGACTTAAATTTCGAAAGCGTTCATCAGTCTGCATCATAACTAGTCAATTTATTAGACAATCCAAATGATAAAGTGGACACACTTGAGTCAGGAATTGATGAAATTGGTTAGAATTATTGTGTGTCAAAGCACGATTGCTTGAATTCTATGATAGCTAGAAAGATGATTGAACGGTCTATGATCAGAAATTATTGCCGAATATACAAGGCGCATATGAAAAAATATAGAGAGTCGGTAGCATTTTTTTAATGGAGTGCCCTGTATATATCAGCACATTTTTTGAAGCATCGCTGTGACCTCCATCCACCCTAGTAATAATAATGAGTGTTGCTGAGATATAGAAAATCAGATGCATAATGCTAATGTATAGTTGATAATAGTGATAGAGTTAATGAATGAAGATAATGGACCTGTTCCATGCCTTCTTTTTGGTTTAGTGATTTAGGATCAGGATTAACATGTGAACCCAACCATGACAGACATTGACTGAGCATTATTCTAGACAAGGATATTGAATTTCAATCTTCTGCTAAAGATGATAACATAGCGAAACACGTGTTGATGCGTTGAAAATAATTGGTTTTATAAGTGGTACAATAGTGAAGTGTATTTTTTTCACTAAACCGACTGAGGTCTCCGTTGATTCTTCTGCATATATAGTAGGACTACAAAAATTAAAATTGCCCCTGAAACAATGACAAAGTTCACCGAGGTCCAATATTTGATATATTTATTTGTGGTCACCGCCATATTTTTACATGGCGATTCCAGCTTCTGATGACTCCATTATAATGATTATAGAGGATATAATGTATCGTTAGTATAGGAACACAAACACGATCATAATAATCATTTTTTACCTTCCGATGAAATCGTCCCTTGCTCTATCTTTATCCCAGACGGTGATTTCTAGTTGCTGGTCCCCGTCGTCGTACAGATGAAGGTCTAGTTGTTCTAGCCATCTTGGATTAAGTGACCTCCATACTACTCTACTTTTGTATTTTTCGTTACCTAACCTGAAACGATTGAATCATTCCATCATTCATTCATCAATTCCTTCAACAACAATTTTTACATGTCGGCATTAATTGCACTATGGAATATATCATGGGGTTTCCTACCTAAATTTACAATATGGATCTGATGTTCCAGTTTCTGGATCACATGGCAGTAGATTTTTGCCTTCGACTAATACAATGGTCACTACTGAACTCCATATTTGCGATTTTAGTCGTTTATTGACATCTTGTACTCTGCAATTTTTTTGGAAGTACTGAAACAATCGAATGAGTGGAAATTGAATGAAAATTGGAAAAAAATGTATTAACACAGAATATCTCCGGAAGAAATAAAATAATAACTATTATCCCAATAAATGACAAACATGACAAATAAGTATTATACAGGGTTGGGCAAAATTATGGAACCAGGTGGAAATCTTGGTAACCGTTTGTTAGATTTTTTTGAATATATGTACAGGGTGATTTCAAAACGTGGTGGATTTGAAAATGTTTTCGTCGATTTTGCCACTTCTTCATTTCTTCCGGAATTATTATTTACTTCGTTATTTTGAATAGAACACCCTGTATTTTATTGAATTTTCAGATTCTTCCTGAAGAGCTGATTTCATCGTTTCATCACACTTGGGGTCTAGCAAGAATGATAACTGATATATAGGGTGTTCAAAATCGAGATTTTTCAACTTTAGGATTTTTTGTGTCGAAACTATTCATTATCGGTCAACACGGCTTTTATGTCCCTATCCCACATTTGATTTACTACCTATTGGTATTTAATGGGAACAGATACAGGGTGCTCAGATTTCTGCATCTTGACGGATAGGGCAAGTGGTTGCTTTCAATAGATCGTTGATATGAAGTAGGAGCAATGGTGCCAAAATTGATCCCTGTGGAACGCCGGAATTGATGACAAGGGTATCAGACGATACTCCATTCACCACCACATGGAGCGATCTGCCTGAAAGAAAACTCGAGGTGGTAAGCCGTATGATGGTGCCAAACACGGTCGAATTCCTTCGATATATCGAGCGCTACATATAGAGATTCAATGAACAGACAAATACCTTACCTCGCCTACTAGGTTTTTATATACGTGGATCTCGGTAACCATAAGATAGGTATACACGCGTGAATCGCATCATTTCGTACTCAACAAACTCCCACTTAAAAATTTGAAGAATTTGAAACATTACTACCTAACTTAATGCCTAAAGATGTATTCGTTTATTCTCCTTGTTCACTCATACAGATAGAGAGCCTGATGGAGGAACCTGATGGGACCTAACTGAAACAATATGTGACTTGAGTGAATAACAAAATTGAATCAGACGAATTCTCTAGAAACAAATCTTGATATTGAAATGAAATAAAAATATTTTTGTTTCCGTTACTTTGATAAAGTAAATAAATGTGCAATGTCTGTCCCACTTAGAAGGTTTTGAGGCGTGTGACGCTGTTATGCTCATCGGTGTTTCAATGATATAAAAATGATGGAAACTCTTGCCCATGTGGAGATCAAAAAGTAATGAAACATCGATCTCTTCGATAGATGACAGAGCGGGAGGCAGGTTGAATAAATGTGCAATGTCTGTCCAATCTAGAAGGTTTTGAATTGTTGCGTGTGAGGCTGTTATGCTCATCATTGTTTCAATGAGATGAAAATGATGAATCTCTTGTGCATCTGAAGATATCTTCGAACGCGTCCTATCGACGTTTATGAGGATTGTGAATTATATTTAATTAATGAAATATCAACCTCTTCTAAAGATAATAGAGTGAGAGGTTGAATAAATGTGCAATGTCTGTCCCACCCAGAAGGTTTTGAAGTGATGCGTGTGAGGCTGTAATGCTCATCGGTACTTCTCTTCGAAGGCGCGTCCTATCGACGTTTCGTAGTCCTTGTGGAGATCAAAAAGTGAGACATCAATATCTTCGAAAGATAATGGAGGGGGAGGCATATTGGAATTTATTTCGATGTTTCCCTTTGTTGAATAGTGTGCACGCTGTATATAAGTATATGAATATAATATATAGGTACCTACACCAGGAATATTGTTTATAGAATTGAAATATGCGTGTTAAATATGGTATACTTAGTTATTTTGGCCATGAATACCTTCATTCGTTACTGCACATTCACTACACACTATACTGTGGAAGGATTCGGTTCATCTTACATACGTGAAATTACCGGAACATGGATTCATTCATATATATGGTCACTTTAAAGTTTATAATAAACAATATCCGCCAGTTGATACCATCACAAGTCTGCGGTAGATACGTGAGGTCGCTAGATAGATTTGTTATAACTGAACGAACGAAAATAACTGAAACCAATACCACTTTGAATTCGCCTATTTGTATACAGTTCCTGTGTAATACGCGATTAGTTATCCGCATGTTCTGATAGCACTCTTGTGCGTCAAAATATACATCAACATCCACCAATAATGAGCTCTTTTTCCCAACATTTCAGGAGTTATATGCTTTAGTAAAAAGCATAGTACCTCAAGGTAATTTTCAGCATTGAATGATGAAAAGAAGTATTACCCGAGAAAAGGTGGGAAATATCTTGGATTCAAATAGAACGATGACCAGTTCTTATAATTTTTCTCTCCTTACGGAAAAATGAACCTCAAAGGGACGACGCTAGAAAACGGTTTTTTTGAGGATATTTCAGAGTTATGAATAATATAATACCATGTATAAGCCAGTACTACCCTTTACGTAGGTCAATGCTTGGAGGACTTCTGCTCATCGTTTATATTGTGTTATTTTATTGATCTAATTTTCCATTTGTTCTGAATGAATAATGTGTGTGTGGAGAATACAAATTGAATGATACTATAAGGCATATCATCGGCATATTGTAGAACAATGGGGGTTCACATTCTAGTTTGATTTTATTATAATAATCATTTTAAAAATGTATATTCGGAGCTCTGGGAAGAAAACGGCTTATTACAGTGAACTTGTTTGGCTTAGTATACTCTAAAATATTGAATTACATTTTTTTAATGAAATACGGAGTTGTTCCATCACCATAGATATTTCCTCATTAGGATTTGATAAAATCATTCATCCATAACAAGATTTAACTTAGTTTTAGACATTCATATTGTTACTTGTATCATCTTGTATGAATTCTGTAAATAATCGTATTGACTGTTTTGTCTCAGATTTCATTGAATTCAATTCTTATTTTCGTAGGGTGGAACAATGACTTGCAGCAAAAAATATGTTTAATAACAATAAACGTATATTCAATTATTATGTTTAAGGACATCTCCCTAAACATATAGGATGAGTAGAACATTCGTTTTATCTAGAAACTATATCACACTTCAAAATATGTTCAATTAGACCAATTGCTCAATTTTTTAGAAACACACACCATGCACGATTTCAACTGCCAACACCATCCTCCCAGGGTGAATTGGAAAAGCAAAAATATAAAAATCTGTCACTGACTCACTAACAGCTTATATGAGTTATTGCGGTAAAATGTGTATGAGTATTTCAACTATTCTTGAGATGAAAATAAGAAAAAAATTTCCTATCAACATTTGTCCGAAAATGCTTCTTACCCTTGCAGTGGTGACAAATCTGCTGCATAAATATTTCTTGTTCTAATTCATTTTATGAGAAATTGAGCGTATTCAATCGAAGGTATATATTCTCATACAAATGAAATATTATTTTTAACGAAAATCATCCATATTAGGAGCAGAACAACGAAGACTTCTACATCCCATGAACACATGTATGACGGATGAAGAGGATCTTGAATCGAATTGTGTTTTCTTAATAATATAATCTGATTTCCAATTATGTTCCCTTCGAGCAGAATCATATAAACTGACTCTATTTTGATTGTGTAGGTATATTTTTTTTATCACAAAAAAAAATTAATTGTCTCTCAGACCAGGTCCTTAAATGCAGAATCACGAAATTTGGTACATACCTGAAGATTATTCGAACTTACAAAAAGTTTGGTGCTACGGAAAGCATGACTTTATATACAGGGAGATGTGAAACTCGTAACCAATGCTATAAAAATGCCTCAACTTTTTTCTTTTGAGGTTCATCTCATTTCTTCCAACATATGATTCTCCAATCACGTTCATATTGAAAAGGCATTCTTGTTAGAGAGCAGTTAAACGAACCGTTTCGGGAAAAGTATCATTTTTCATTTTTTTGATGTCCAAAAACATTCACAATCATTTTGAGCGCGTGCATGAGCTCCAATGAAAAAATAACTCAGAACTCGATAATTAAAATATCACATTTCCTTTCAGCATTGATTCATCAAAGTTCATCGTGATGTTGATTTGTTGAAAAAATATATTTCTAGCTCTATGGCTCTAGCGCCCTTAGGAAGCATATTCGGACACGTATTGAGAGAAATATTTTATATTCATCTATAGAATCACCTCCCAGAGAAATACGAACGTTATTCTGGGACACCCTGTATATACCTGAATATAATAGGCTATCGACTTCCTCGTTAAAAAAGCCTAATAGTCTTTTTTTGAAAAAAAAACGACCCCTTCAACAGGCAATATAAATAGTATTAGGCCTTGAGGATAGGGATAGGAGGTAGGTATTGGACTTTTTTTAACTTCTGGAGATTATATGTTGTTGGGAATACTTCCTCAGGCAATGAATTCCAGAGCCTAGCCGTTCTATGGATGAAGGAGTTTTGATAAAGTGCTGTTCGACATCTTTCGAGGTTGACAACGAAAGGATGTGCTGACTGGGCTTGTCTACTTCGTCTGACTGGCATTGCTAGTGAAGGGATGATAGCAGAGATTTCCGAAGAACATTTCCCGTGGAAGTTTCGATAGAAAAGTGAAAGGTTGCCGACCTTTCTACGGTGTTCCAATGATGTCAAAGAATGAGTGAGTATGGCGTCACCCACCAGGCGGATGACTCTTCTCTGGATGGAATCTAAGAGCATCAGCGTATGTTTTGGTGCTGAACCCCATATGTGGGAACAGTATTCTAGAACAGGTCGTATCTGAGCTTTGTAGATCATGGGAAGCTGTTGAGGTGTGAAGTAGCTTTTCGCACGGAACAAGAATCCAAGTTTTCGAATAGAGCTCGTTGAATACCATACATAGATTATTTTTTGAAAATCGGCGTAGCGAGTTGAAATCACACACACTGCATATAAGAGAATCATCTCACCTGTTCTTTATCCTCTTGACTCTTTGGATAAAGTGTCACAGCTAATATAATTTCGCCCAGTGTTGAATCGAGTCTAGCTGAATCGTGTAAAGCTAGTGAAAGATCTGTTGGCCTGGATAAGTCTAAGGAGGTTAGATCCAGAGTAGCTGATCCCATAAAATCATCCTAAACAAACATGGCAATGAATTATTTGTTATTGATAATCATCACCCGGCTCCTGCACCAAAAATTTGAATATAGTAAAGTTTATAGGTTTATCAATTTTTTTTCAAACAGAGTTTCCATAAAATGAAAATCTCTTCGCCATTTCAACATTGAATTGCTGAAATATTTCATCTTCACCTATTTTGTAACGGATTGCGTCTCAGAGATGTATTTTCTAAATGAGGTTGTTAGAACTGTTATACTGCAAATCTCATGGAACTATTTGAAATCGTATACGGCGGTTGAATATGATTATACAATGTCTCTACAACCAAAAGTGGCTGGCGTCAATGGTTATGATATCAAAATAGTATATGAATTAATACGGATACATCAATTTCAGTTAACACTTCGGATTTCTATGACTTTTTCAAGGAGATAAAAACAATTCGAGAAGAATCCCAATCCCGTTCAATCCCAAGTACACGAAGGGGCTTGATAAGGTTTTCGCTGACTAAGTTTTGAAAGCGTTCATCAATCTAGGTCGAGATTAGGCCATCTATTGGGTAATCCAAAAGATAAGGTGGACACACTTGGAATGTCAGGAATATACGAAATTAGTTGTAATGATTGAGATTAAACATATATAGGCCAAACCAGGCAACCCATGAAAACAAGGTTCAAAGAACACCTAGCACACTCGAAATATAGTAGGTTGGATAAATTGTGTGTACCCGAAGACATGTTTGATGACAATCATAACACACATATTAATAACCTCGAATTAGTATGGCAAGTTGATAATGTTAGGAACTTGATGCAAATGAAAGCCTAGAGATATTTAGAAATAGTAATAGAGTAATGAATAAAGATAATAGACCTATTCCATTTAGCCCCCTATTTATAGTTTAGTGATATAAGATTAAGGTGAACATGTGGACTCAACAATGACAAACATAACCTTGGCAGTTAGTTTCTTTCAGATTTGGTGAACATATACCTAGTATATAAGTAGTACAATAAATAGACTATTTAGTTCCATTCTTCTCCTGCTGAAGATGCAACAAAGTTAGCGAAAACGTATCGAAACACGTATCGAGGCGTATTAAAAATCGGTTTGGTTATTGATGAACCGTCTTCGATATATACCTCTGTACAATTATATTTCCAGATTTTCTTCAATATTTCAAAATCCTTGAGAGGTACTGCTCTGAAATTCGTAGGACAATTTTCTATAGTGATTGTGCATGAAAAAAATGTCGTACCGATTCACAATCAATATACAGGGTGTTAGGTATTTCGCATTCTCTTTGATAAAAAATAATGTAAGTTTTCTGCTGTACGACACTGAATACAGTTTGATATTTCATAGAATGACATAATCAAGTATCTCTCTTTTTTCTCACTGCAGTTGTTTCATAATTTTCCTTGGTTCTCGAGATAATTAACAAAATTCATGTGGTTCTTTCATACTCGTTTATGATATTAGAATTATCATGTTTTGTTCGTTTCTACCTCATTTATGTTAAGTTATGGACCACAATAATCATATGTTCACCAATCCGCCGGCTCTTCATAATATGGTTTGGAAGCTGCGTCATTTCCAAATTACATCTCAAAGATTTCTGGTAAAAAAGACATGTGCTTAAGAAGTTCGTAATCATGATTATTGTGGTCAATAACTCAACACGTTGTTTTGGAACACCTTGTATATATCGGCATTATAATATACCTATATTAAGTATACGAGTGCATTACAAAATGTATATAAGTTGGGATATGTATATATACATATGTGTATATTAAAGTGTTATATTACTTGTGAGTAAACGATACAATTTTTTTCTATGTATAATGTGAGTTGTGAGAACATCATTATAGAAACACCTGTTTATAAATTGAAATTGTTCTATTATATGCAGTAATGCAGTTGGTATAAAATAGAGCAGTTGTTAAATAGGCGTTTAATAATAATTAAAGGATAATTCACTTCCTTATGAGTTCGTAGACACATTATAAAGAAACATTTCGTATGCTATCGTGATGGTTTTTTAACGATTTCTATAAATTACCTGTAGTCCCCAGTCATAGTCAAACACTTTTATGCTAATGGGGATGAAGGGGTCTTCTATGGGCACTGTGAAACTTTCGTCCCAAACTGGATTAAGGTCTCGATAAACCGTTCGGGATTTATATACTAGTCTTCCTCCACATTTGAATTTCACGTAGGGATCGCTCAAACCTGAAAAAATAGAAATTATCTGAAGAACCTCTGTAGGTTAATCAAAGAGTTGGAATGTTCATTTCTCCATATTTTTCAGGATTTTCCCCGCTAGGTTATATACAATATACAGGGTGAGTCTGTTTTTTGTAGCAGGACTTGAAGAACACATATTTGATGTGAATATATCGTTGGTCATCTCTCGTAATGACGTATCTCATAAAAACCGGAATTTGCGATACTTCGTCAAATGACCTATATTCTTCTACTCTATGACCTCACAAAGTGGCGTATCTCAATTTTCATTGTTTTTCGTGTAATTAAATATCGAATACTCAGCCTATCTCAGATTATTGGACTACTAAATCTCATGAAGTGACCTAACTAGGAGAGTTACTTCAATACGTGAGATATATTTTCATTATTTGTTGGAAATTTCGAATGTGACGTATCTCATAATCCGGTTTGCCTCGGAAATTAAAATGTCTCGGGTGACGTCTGAAGGTACTGAGAGGGGTATTGTAAGATATTGTACATGTCGAAATAATTTGTGTGTTTTTTATCAATAAAAATGAATATTCAGATCTGATATTCATTTGAATTCACATGATCTCACGTAGTGACGTTTCTCACAAACATATTATTTTTCTCTACGTTTTTTGCCATGCTTTTTCGAAATCTCACCATATCATAATAACTATAGGTAGTTCTAATTCTTTCTCTAGTGAATAAAAAAACAATGATCTTTAATAAACAAACCTCTGTGTTATGAGCGGATTGAGATGTTGAAAAACTTTGAATCGCACTTCTGTAAAGTTAGGAAAACTGAGATACGTCATTACGTGAGATGATCTTCGATATATGCGCGGGAGCTTCGTTTCCAATATATTGGGTGTCGAAGTTCGAGATTTTTTTTAGTTTTCTCCAACAATTTTCAAGATAATGAATTAAAATTTGTATATCCATCACACTTGAAAATCTCATCATTTGGGGCTATTTGGAGATTTTGATTAACAACAGGGTGATAGACTCTCGGGGGTTGTACCCAATTTATCCCTCTTGAGCTTTTTTGCTTGCTGATACCTCTACTTTCATCGAAACATTAATTTAGATTTTCTGTTCTATTGGGATACTTTTCGCTCTTTTATATATTTTTCGAAAACTGTATGGAATTCGAAATAAATGCAAAAAATAATTTACTAGGGATGAAATTTCTTTTTTCGAACACACTATGTTTAACATTTCTCAATAATTGACTAGATGAGCCGGAATGATCAAAAGCTTCCATGACCTGTGTTAATGAAACTCAATGGCAAAACTTGAAAAAACAGAAGAAATATATAAAAATATCATATCATATGCCCTGTAAATCTATATTTATCTCAAAATTATATTTCCTTTAAGCTGTTGATGACCTACTACAAAGAAAAGTGACACCCGGTATATTCGCAGCGAGGACAAAATTCATATGATTTGTCCCAAGATGTCACTGCATTGTAAAAATTCAACTATCAGAAAACACAGAGAGTGTGGCATTTGTTCAACGTGGTGACTTTCGTGAAGAACCAATTATTTACAGAAACAGAGAGAAAAAGCAAAGAATTTCTCCAATTAGTCTTCTTAGTCGTGATAACGTAATGGCGATTATTTGAGTCCACTATATTGAGTAATATTGACCAGTTGCGGTTACGTTATGAATACGTAGTTACTACGTAGCTACGACCAGGATGGGAAACAAATTACGAATAAATGCTGGTATGTCGACGTTGCTAGAATATGAATAAAAATTTCAAAAGGCCAAGAATATTTAGATTAGTTTGAAGAATAAATCTGTAGGAAGTTACTGGCGTAGATATTCGAAATCTATAAGGCCCTTTGACCCAATTTTTCAATACTAGCGCTATAGTGACTTCACAGCAATTTTGTCGAGATATACGTCATTCATTTGGAATCATTCCTCGTCATTATCTACTGAGAAATATTTGGACACTCATTTAGTTAGTCACTCACACTAATATATTGCATGATATTTCGGCACGCTCTGTATAAGTTATTTTACAAAATACATATATAATGAATGTAATGCGATTCAGATCAAATTAAATTTTTCTTATACCTCTGTTATAACAGTTTGTTTCACACGTTCAATTTTGTTATTTGTTTTGTATTTTTGTTGTTCATTCTTTTTATTCGTTATTGTTTTCTATACCGGGTGTCAACGAATCTATTAGACAAGTCATAACTTCTACACCATTAAGTGTATCAAAATGAGATTTGGTGTAGGTGAATGGTATGTGAAGAGGAGAGTTTTCACATATTTTTCACTTCCCGGTCACTTCCGGTTTCACCGGAAAGTGCTCCGGTTCTACATTTTACATTTTTAAATGGAACACCCTGTATATTGTAACATTTTTGGATTCCTGAGACAATTCTAGATCAGAATGTGACATTTTCGAAAGTTTTCATGCCTACTCAATTTTTTCGAAGTCATTTTTGAAATTACATCTAGGAGGCCATGATCGGAAGTAAACTGATCTAAGGACCTCAGGTGATATCAGAAAATTACAATCGCGCAGTTCTAGTGACAAGTATGATAGATATGAATAAGACAAGTTGGCAAAATTACATTTTTCTAATTTTGACATGTAATGTGACACTTTTCAAAACTGACGGAAGTTTTGAAACGTCTTACTTTACGTAACCAGTTGCGTAAAGTAAAATTTTACATAACTGGTGATGTAATGTTCATTTCATTCATTCATTTCACACAACAAGAGTCGGCAGAACTCATGTAAAACTGGTCATTATTTTTGTTCATGCGAAATGTTTCGTCAAAATTAGAAAAAATATTGTACGTGACACGTTAGGAAACGCCATTTTGTGTAACTCTGTGATGTTGCGGGATCTCGCTTCGCTCGTCCCGCAAAATCCCATCGTTACACAAAACAACGCGTTTCCTAACTGATTACGTAAATATCTATTTCGTGTCTCACTATTATTTTTCAAATGGCGACCAGTTTTTGACAAGCACTTTCCGAAAAAAGGATATTTTGACGTATCTAACGATACTAATTTATTTGCGATTGGATTACTAATAAGAACATGAATTAAATATTGCTGACGAAAATACTTCATGATAATTTATTTACTTTTGTCAAGTGTGCCATGGATGATAGTTCATTTACTTGTAAGCACTTCCCGAAAAAAAAGGTATTTTGACGAATCAAACGATACTAATTTATTTGCGATTAGATCAACAAATTTAACAAAATTGACAATAACTTCAGCGATGCACTTACATTTTCTTCAATTTCCTAATTTCTTAGAATTTTCACTATAGTAAATTTTCAAAGTGCATTCCTCCTTGAGCAAGACACATATTTAATATTTAATTTATGTCCTTATTTGCAATCCAATAGCAAATAAATTAGTATCGTTAGATGCGTCAAAATATCCTTTATTCGGAAAGTGCTTGTCAAAAACTGGTTGCCATTTGAAAAATAATAGTTAGACACGAAAATGTAATTTTGCCAACTTGTCTCTTTCATATCTATCATACTTGTCACTAAAACTTCGCAATTGTAATTTTCTGATATCGCCTGAGGTCATTAGATTATTTTACTTCCGATCATGGCCACCTAGATGTAATTTCAAAAGTGACTCTGAAAAAATTGAGTAGGCATAAAAACTTACGAAAATGTCACATTCTGATCTAGAATTGTCTCAGAAATCCAAAAATGTTACGATATACAGGGTGTTCCATTTAAAATTTTAAAACCGGAGCCATTTCCGGTGAAACCGGAAGTGGCCGGGAAGTGAAAAATATGTGAAAACTCTCCTCTTCACACACCATTTACCTATAGCAAATCTCATCTTGATACACCTTATGGTCTAGAAGTTATGACTTGTCTAATAGATTCGTTGACACCCGGTATATTCAAATCATATAAGTACCTATGTAACTATATATGTATTTCTGATTTTAGAATTAGGAATATGATTATTTTTGTATAACAATGTTTGTTTTGTTTTTTTTTTCGGAAATAGGTTACTTTTCTGTTTACTGAAAGTACATAATGTTTTGACTTTATAGGTTCATTTCATTGCCTTTTCTTGGAATTCGCATAGCATGAAATGCATCTCAAACAGATCTATCGAAATCTGAGTTTTTTACAACGTTTTTACTCATTCACTCATAACTCTTTCCATCCTCACGTTGAATGTTAAATATAAAGCCCACTTGTAGGAAGGATGATCAAAAGGTTTATAATTGAAACACTTCCATTTTTTTCAACACAAATCTTTAATTTTATTAACACACTATAAGTCAGAGCACAAGCGACCTTCATAATCAAGCTAACAGTATACCTAATAAAATCTAAATTTAACCTACAATAATCGGAATAAGTACGAATCGTCAAAGACAATGAAAATTGAGCATATATTAGCAATCATACAAATCTTGGCAGCTGTCAAAAAGTTCAAAAAACAGATCGTTCTCTCTGGTACAACTCTTACTCTTTCCATCCTCGAGTTTTTTCTCTTCGTGTGTGACTAATAACTTCTTGATGGCGGCATCCAAGCCCTTGAACTTCTTCTGGACAGACCTGTGCCTGGTTGTCTGGAAAACTAGCCGATTCCTCACAGACTCTCCGATGGTTTTCTTGATGAATTTCGACAGTCTATCCCGAACAGGCATAAGCCTCATCTTTATGACGCTCCTTCCAAGGTTCTCCTTAACTGATAGCAGCTCCATGGTGACAGCTCTGTTGAGAGTTTGAAACTCGAAGTACTTTTCTTTCGCTTGAGTATGGCTGTACTCGGTCATCGCTTGGTTTTTCTTGGATATCAGGTTTTTCAGATATTCTGGCAGAATGGAGTAAGCCGGATGATTTACTTCGCTGAATTTTTTGGATTGAGTGTATTTTTCACTTTTGCGGGTGAAATACATGTTGTTGTGGCTCAATATTGAGGCAGAAGTTTCGTGACTCATTATGACGTGCTGCAATGTGATGCAATCAGATACTGAATGATACTGTTTTCGTAAAAAATTTGGATTTATATTCTTCAGGTAACGGCGTTAATCCTATTTGGGAAGAGGTAGGTAAATAGCGAAATCCGCATTACAGAAGGGCATTGCAAAATTCTATCGAATTATTTACCTTCCTGAAGGATTATCTTAGTTATGATTTGTTTCAGTTCCCTGTAATCTGATTAGTTTATTTTGGATTGTAAATTATGGTTGTGAAGCATTCATAATGACAGAAAGGTAAATGATCATATGTTTTGATTTTCTCTTGCATCAGCCAAAATATGTATATTGGCTATTCAAAATCAGCAGATATCATAGCAAACTATATGAGAAATCACTAGACTAATTGAGTATTGGAATAGCCACTCGCATTAACAATATAATATATAATACATATAATTGCATGATGGAGTATTCCATAAACTCAGTCCAAGAACTTTGAGACTAAATTCGAGATGAAAACAAAAATAGTCATAATAATTATCGACTATAACATATGGTTATGATGAAATAGAGATTTTTAACCCTGATTGTCTTAAGACAACGTACCATAAATTCTACAGGGTGAATTAGGGGTTCAACTTAAATCTTGATAAAAATGAATACATACATGAAAAACATGTCATACCACTTGGATCAATATACAGGGAGATGCATAATTAACTCTTCTGGAGTACACCACTGGCCACATCTTTTTCTTAATTGCAGTTCTTTTACAATTTTTTTTCGAGATATTTAACAAAATTCATTTCGTAGCTTCTTCATTATACCTACTTGTTTTTAATGTCCGTATTACCTATCATGTTTTGCGAAATTCTACCTCATTTATGTTGAGTTATTGAACACAATATTCATGATCACGATTTCGCAAAATTATTCACGTTCGCAAAAGTACTGTTTAGATGTGTCTGTTTTTTTATTGAACCCCAACATATGAATTACATGATTATCCACAAATTGTAGTTGAACAGCATGAAGAATAATAATGGGAAGATAGTTTTTCTGTAAAAAAACAATCCTCTGATACGATTTCATAAAATATCGACCCATTTTTAAATCAATACAAATGCAGGGCTCTGTCCATAATTATGTTCATCCATGAAAAACTTATCATATTGACGGCTTTTCATACTATTCACGCATTGTTTTTCATTAATTATTGCTTTGAAGCAATTTAGTATCATCATTATCATGTATAAAAAATATATTTCAAGTTTTTTTCCTATAAACATTAATCTGACTTATTCCAATATCATTCAGCTCTTGTTAACATTCATTTTGTGCCACTTTCAGAAATAAAAGTTATAGATACTATATAAACTCCTTATCTAAGCTCACATTTATTTTTCATTCTCGAACTCTGTCAACTTTCACAACTATTTATTATATTGTTATATTTTGTGCTACTCTGTAACTGGATGGGTAAAACAATCTGTTGAGTAGCTTCTTCATGTGAATACATAAATAAATCAATAATTGAATATTTGGTAAGAATCGCACCACTAATAGCTAAGATATAAAAGGGGGGACCTTTAAAGTGGGACACGCTGTCAATATTCGGAAGATTCTCATCAGGCACATATTCATTGGATTCCTATTATGACCAATAAAGTTTGTATGAACTAATCTTATTCAAATAGGGTCTTTTATATATCGATTATCGAAATTTTGTTACTTAAAATGGACCACGCTGTATTTCGGAAATAAGAAAAATTATTATTCTATTGGTCTCCTTTTCACTGAAAGAAATCAAGGAATTTAATAAAATCATCAAATTTCAATTATATAGTGTGAGGAACTGATAGAATAAATTCGCTAACAGGGGGTGAATACCTATTTTTTCTGAAAAAAAAAACAGACACAACCCTCAACATGTTTTCTCCAAATAATATGGCTTATGACCCTTCATTGGAAAGAAGGTGAAAAGAGGAATACAACGGCATACTGCTCAAATTTCAATTTTTTGTGCGTTTGAGGTTCGCATGAAATTGAAATTTAATTTTAAAATACAATTCATTTCCAACGACATAATTGCTCAAACTGTTCAAGCAATTATTGATGGCTCTTTTTGCCACACCTTATATCTGCTAGTGTATGCCAGTGGTTTTAGAGCCGCAAACATGAATTAAGTTTCAATGCCGTATTCACATCAGTTCGAAACGAAGTAATATACTGGTGAAAATGCAATATATCACTGTAAAATTCAAAATTCCAATGAAAAAACGCTGAAAATATATTGAACTCTGAAATTATATTTTGATTTTTTGCGACCCCCAAACGTACTGCAACCTGAAATCTGATCATTATACTGGCTTTGTGTTTCAACCAGCTTTCCAATGAGGGGTCACAAGCCATAGGGCTGCATTTGAAATTAACATGTTGGGGCTGATTTCAGCTGCCACTGAATGGTTCTTCATATCGCTCGCAAAATATTGACGTGTCTGACGAATTTTCAGAAAAATCATACATTTTCCCGTTAGCGAATTTTTTCCAGTTGAAGTCTTCACCCTGTTTGTTATAAAAAAGGGGATCCAACATGGTTATAGTCGCCATGAAAAATATATTTTGTGTATTGTACCTGGAAAACAGTACACTCTGTATGAAATCAGACTATTTGCAGCGCATTCCATGAGTGCCACTCAGGTTATGTACCATTTCTCGAATTCCACGTCATATCTTTTCAAGTTCAAACAGTTGTAATAAATGAATAGGTTATTTATTTACATTTTTCTGAAAATCAAAAAATCCGTTCACAAAATTCTTGATTAGTCAGCATCGGGCATTGAAAATGTTACTCTACTTGTGAGAGATATGAACATGATCTGTAATTCGACCGACCAGTGGAGGATTCAGAACTTACTTTCATTTGAAATACCAAAGTTATGACCATTCGAAAAAGTCAACATCGGCAGTTAATTATAAATTACTCTGTAATAATAATCTCAATTATGACTGCATAGGAGTGATAGTCGAAGTATCATCGAAATTTGTGCGTAATTTCAGATTGTACTCATAATTTGGAAAATGAAGATCAACAGGGATAGGTTTGTTACATTATAATTTTTCGGAATAATTCAAATTTACTAATTACAAAAATAATACAAGGATGTGTAGACAAGATAATGGGTAATCAAAATATGTGAAAAAATACATTGTGTCACTTTTAAACAAATCGTAATTCATGATGGCCAGCGTTGAATAAACATCCTGTAGAGATCAAAATAATTTTGAATTGTAGACCTCATAATATTGTGGACACGTGGACGTGGACACCCAGTATATACGAACATATAATAAGTATAATAGATAAAAGATAAGTTGTTTCTCCTTTAGAATTGAGAAGAACAAATTTCAGGATGATCGAAACGAACAATACTCCAAAATAATAGATTTCTCAAAATGAAATAGTTTTTTGTCCAATTGATAGAATCAAGCATTTTTCGCGTTTTGGAGAATCGATTCATTATATTTTCCGAATTTCAGTCATTTTGTTGATGATGGTATATTCCAAGACTGATGGTATAGTATTTAGATTTAGACAAGCCATAGTTTCTAGATGTTCCAGAGACTCAAATCTAGCAGAGATTTCTCGAAAAAATGTTCAATATCAAAAGTTTTTGAAGTTCGAACTTGACCAGACTTTTCTCAACATTTTTTCATTCTGGCGGCCAACTCGATTTTTCATTTCAGTTTGCACATCTCTCCATTGTAATTGGTTCCGCTTTTCTTCGACTGAATTGGTAAAAGAGTGTTTTCTTCAATATTTGGGTATATTACTTATATAACTAGTTGAGGTCTATGTAATCTAGTGGATATTCTCAAGAATCAAGTGAATTTTTGTTTTCGAATCTTCGTAACCAAACTCCAAATTGTCACTATAATCGAGAAATAAAAAAATATACAGGCTATTCCACTCCAAATCCAAAAGTTATGGTAATTTTAGATGAAACCGAGAGTAACTGATGGAATGTATATATGGAAGAATGAAATATTGAAAATAATTGTATAAAATTTTCAGATCCGATACACGTTACGTGGAATAACATTCAGGCACATAAAAACAGGTGAATATTTTCTGGTACTGGCGATGCCGATAAAGTATTTTCAAGTTTTGAATAGGTATGTATTTTTTCATTTGCTTGTCTAAGCCCCCCGCTGGATCCTCCACTTTATTCGACATACCAAGTCTCAGGAAGTTTTCTATATAATTCAAAAATACAACGATGTATCATGAGTCTACCTACCTGTTATATTTATTGAATTGAAACAAACCTCATTTTACCTGGAAAACATAATTGAAAGCATAGACTTAATCCGAGTCGAGTGACTTCGTTACGAACTCAATAATCTGTTCATAAACCATCATTGAATACACTAATTATCTCTCAATTAATAATGTCTCAAAGTTTTTAATGATTTTGGTCCAAATTAGGAAGAGGTAAGATCTAACAGGCCAAATATAAATTCCAAACCCAAACAGTCATCTTTTCATATTGCATTTGTTCATAGCATTTCATAGTAACAGTAAACGCACGAACAAAGAATGATTTATTCAAATAAAAATTGTCAAACAGAAGTTCATCACCCAGAGAACGAAGACAACTTCAAATTGACTTTCGCAGACTTTCCAGCCTATTTGAGGAACTTGATATATACCAAGAACAGCGTCCGAGAAGAATATTTGAGAACAAAAAATGCAGAAACCAAATTCCAATTCATCAAGCTCCATAATGCAGTCGTAGCCGAGATAACTGACATCAGAGAGAAACTAAGGATGAGGCAAAAGAACACCCTGTATATAATTCCAGTACCGGACCAGTCGGACAGGCTGACTTCGTATATCTTCGAACTTCTTGGGGATAACATGAAGACTAGATTGTGCTTTCAAACGACTCAAGATGAGTTTTACCTTTCCAAATATAGAGCAACAGATAGAGCCATAAGAGTATTGTTGAATACTCATAAAGAAAGGAGTATGGAGAATGATCTCGAACAAATAACGTGGTATGACGAAGCTGACAATGATTTTTCGATTTTTATGGATTTGTTTGGAAAAAAAGGGACTTATGTTTAGCTAGTTTAGTTATTTTTGTGCTATTTTGTAAATATTTCACAAGCATCTTTTGTAAATAATGTTCAATCGTCGATTTATCACCTCTTGATTATTCGTACACTGTATAGATATTCAACTTCTGATTATTATGACTATCTAAATCTATAAATATAATTATATTTTATTCGAAAAATCAAAATGTTTTATTTACTTATACGCTTTCATTTCAGTACGTCAGATGCAAAGAACATGTCGTGCTGGTTGGATGGTGATAGCACTCCCTAGTCACTTATTCTGCAATGAAGGCGCTAACACTATCCAACATTTTCAATAGAAGTCTGACAAATAACATATTTACTGCCTTGTATGCAGTTTACCGTTATTGGATAATATTGAGGATAGAGTTAAAGTCTCGTCTCGTCTCGCCGATGATATATTATGAAGTCTTGTCTCGAGCCTCATCTCGCAGCCTTTAGTCTCGTATTGTCTCGCGTCTCGTACGAGAGTCTCGCAAATGTATCGCTATTTCGTCATGCATACTCTTGTTCCAGTCTAGTACGGGATATTTACCTCTACCTTCTTTTTAGGTATGATTTAGAAGTAAGAAGAGAAAATTACAACAAAAATACCATTATTTATTGAGAAGTGAGTACCTAATAGGTACATACTCACATTATACATCTGAACGAGAAAAAAAAAGTATAGCATTATATATTCGAAAGTTATAATAATAAAATAAAAAGAAACACGTATATTCTAAAGAGATAAACAAAAAAAAAAACATCAATCCAACATCATTTTACTTATTTAAGAAATAGGTATCTGATGCTATTCAGTGACACGACGATTCACGTTCATTTACATCATTCGGTATGTAATCGTCCTCATTTCCACTAGAAAAATCACCGGAGTTTGATTCATTTTCTAAATCTGGCGTCTGTCAATCATGGAGATTGTGTTTTTAAAGTATAAACGAACGTAATGTTTTGTCTATATGTGCTAATTAGTCTGAATTCTTTCTAAATATGTTGTATTATGAATGAAATTCTCAAGCCTGCAGTCGGCACGCAGAAATATTCACCTGCGAGACTCTCGCACGAGACACGAGAAGTCTTGTCCGAGTCTCGTCTCGAGTCTTGTCTCGAAAACGAGACGAGGCCATGCGAGACTCTCGAAAACGAGACACTCGCGGGCACCACTAAAGGTGATTATACTCCCATGATTATTCTCTGAAGAAAAAATTAGGAAATGTTAGTCTTCTTGACTGTACAGGGAGGGCCATATTGATGGACACTTCAAAGGAGAAATTTCTCGAATTAGATTAAATAAAGCTGATGCCGGTGTCTGGGGAAATTTTTTTATGACAAATTCAATAGTGAAAACGCAATATCTATCTTTCAAAGTTCCAAGGTGGTTTTTGAATATGTGTAGTTTTGATACCAAAACCTTTTTTTTTCAGTAAAATACTTAGATTTCATGAAAAAATCCCGAAGCAGTGTGTTCATCACGAAGTGAAATTATAGTCATCGCATATCTAGTTTGAATATTTGAGAGCCTAAAAACGCGAAATTCTTGCACGTCTTTCCGTTTTTCGACTGTATACAGTGTGTCCCTAGACCAGTGGGACAGTTGAATATCTCCTGAACCAATAGGACTTTTCAAAATATTATAATTCCACATCATATCGCATCATGAGTGCTAACTTTAGGAATAACTAAATTTTATACGAGGGGCGCAAAAAAGGCTCACAAAATCGAACATTAATTTTTTCAAATGGAACACCCCATATATTTCAACATATCTGAATTCTCATCCCTCTAGGCTTATTATCAGTTTTTTATTTTTGAAAATCCGACAAGGCGTTGCCAAGTTATACTAGTGTTTCATGAAATGCAGACATTTTTTTAGACAAACCCATCATTCATACTACTAAGAATTTATGGAATCATTCAAGACTGTTGGTAGTCGGTAGCATATTCTATCATATGAAATACTCATCTTCTTAAAAGTTATACAGGGTGGTCAGAAATATTATATGATTTTCACGAAATTCAAACTTTCTTCACATCAATTTTTCAAATAGTGCACCCAACAATATGTATAATTTTATATCCCATTGGTGGTTTGATTGCTTATGGTCAATAGTTGAGAAAGAGAGATGTGCCTAATTATTCGTCAAGTCAGTTTTTTCTTGTTGGGACTGATTTTTTAGTAGTTAAGTACAGTTGAATAAATAGTTTACTGCATTTTTTTTATTTGCATTTGCTGATGATGAAATTCACATCTCTCTTTCACAACTATTGACCATAAGCAATCAAACCACCAATGGGATATAAAATCATACATATTGTAGGGTGCACTATTTGAAAATTTGATGTGAAGAAAGTTTGAATTTCGTGAAAATCATATAATATTTCTGACCACCCTGTATAAATTTCGAAGAAGATGAGTATTTCATATGATAGAATATGCCACCGACTTCCAACAGTCCTGAATGATTCCATAAATTCTTAGTAGTATGAATAATGACTTTGTCTATTCATTTCATGAAATACTGGTATAACTTGGCAACGCCTTGTCGGATTTTCAAAAATAAAAAACTGATAATTAGCCTGAAAGAATGAGAATTCAGATATGTTGAAATATATGGGGTGTTCCATTTAAAAAAATTGATGTTCGATTTTGTGAGCCTTTCTTGCGCCCCTCGTATAAAATTTAGTCATTCCGGAAGTTAGCACTCATGATGATGCCATATGATGTGGAATTATAATATTTCGAAAATTCCTATTGGTTCAGGAGATATTCAACTGTCCCACTGGTCTAGGGACACACTGTATAGGCAACACTTTTTCTCTAAACAGAACAATATTTTCAAACTCGATATAGAAAGACTGATTTCAGTGCCTGAGGATCCATTTTTATTACAAACTCATTGTTCCAGAGATTCTTTTATGTAGACAAAACAATTTTGACGAAAAAATTATTCGTATATAGCCTCTTTTCGAATATAACAATTTCCAAACACGAAATGCGGTTTTCACCATTGATTTTGTCATGAGAACTGACCTCCAGGCACCGACATAAGTTCAATCTTTAGATGTGTTAAATTTGGCACACCCTGTACATAGCAATTATTGGGTACTGATTACCTGATGCTTGTCGAAATATGATGTTTTGGTTATGTCAACCAACGGCAATGCGTAAATGGAGCTAGTTTCTTCCTGATAAAGCTCATTTTTCTAATTTTGACGTGTTTTTCAAAACTATATTAGGTGTTTTTGCAATAAGTGCACATATTCAGCACATTAATTTGATACAGTCTAAGGAATATTCCCATGACATCAGATTTTTTTTAATTCTTCTAATTAACGGGAAATTTCATCCCAGCAATTGAGCAAAATACGAGAAAAAATCAAGTACACCACTTTGAAACGATTTGAATGATTGAACTCCGCGTGATTGTGCCTACCGCATAGAAATTGGAACAGAGGTGACGTCAGATTCGTTACAGTGTACAGTGGGTGGAAGAAAGGGTCTAACCTCAAATTTTATTTTGATCCCTAAATTTTTTTCATTAGTGCCATTCGATAGTACACGTCGAGCTTTCTCAGTGTTTAAAACATTTGCACTTATTTCAATGCCACCCTGTATATAATGGAAGCGAAGGTTAATTTCCTTCCATGTGTGTTCAAGACTCCTTCATCCATAGAACGGCTAGGCTCTGGAATTCATTGCCTGTGGAAGTATTCCCAACAACATATAATCTCCAAAAATTCAAAAAAAATTCCAATACCTACCTCCTGTCCCTATCCTCCCTAGGAACGCACGATGTTCTTTGAACATTATAGGAATTCCCTTTCGTGCGCTCCAATCGATAAAAAAAAAACTCCACACGCGGGAGGAAATGTTTATCTTTTCTCCCTTTGACTGCCTTGAGAACATTTTTCTCTTATCCGCTTTTTATTTGTCATTAAATCTCATCCTGTGACGAAACATCAATATTTTGTAGAAAAAATATAACGTCTACAAACAAACGAATTCCAAGAAATATCTTCCATGTACTAATATCATAATGAATGACTGTAAATTGAAGTGACCACCTGTTAGTGCCTCTATAGCAAAATATAAAGAAGTCAAATAGACATACATATAGCACCATTTCGTTCTTGGTAAAGGATTATGACAGGATTATGGGTTTTTGTGTTCAGGTAAACTGACAATAATTGGACCTTCTGATATAGTAGTGTGGTGACTCTCGATATAATAACAAGCTTAAAATAAGTTAGAGAGCTTTGACATTTGCATTTGAAAAACCAAAATGGACTATGAATTGGATAGTGAAAGTTTTTTTCGAAATCGGTCGAATACATGGCCAAGGCATCAAATGGAAAGTGCAAGTAGTTCAATAAAGAGAAATGAAGCACAAATGGAACCAGTGCAAGAACAGAATCCTCCGAAAAAAATACTTTTCGGTGAGTTTTTGATAAGTGCCCACTTCTATTGTCGATTTATATGGTATTTCTTGTGTTTTATACCGGGTGATACTCTGAGGTAGCTCACCGTTATAACTCTTTTATTTATAGAAAATTGAACTATGGGGGTTGTGTATCATAGTACAATCTACATTTCATGACATAAAAGTATTCACTTGCTGTACCGTACTTCCGGTCTGATCTGAAAATTACCCTAGCTTTCGATTTTTGCATGGGATATCCCGTAGATTTTCACTTACTTCGTTCGAGAATGAATATTGTCAATTGAGTCGTTTTCATTCCAATTTTGATTTTTCTGTCCAGAATGCCAGATCCTGTAGCTTCATTCTTGAAAAAATAACATCGGAGAAGTAAACTTTGAGGCGTATGACTTCACAGTCGTTTTTAGAATTGTCCCATAGTCGCAAATATCAATTTTCCTAATTAAATTGATCTTTTCAAATAGAAAGGAGGTGGCTCTTTGAATTCTCTTGCGAATAATTTGAACGGCATTCTTGACCAAGATAATTAGAAATATATACAGGGTGCCTCAGGTTTAACTCGTCTGACTTTGACAATCGATTGCAAAAATTGAAATATCAGATACATAGGAATTTTTTTCGTTTTGTCTTGGAGACACTAGTTTTCATTATACGGGATGTCGAAGTTCGCATGGATTTTTCGGTTTTATTTTTTATCTCTGTTGAAACAAAATCTAGCGGATTGGAATTGAATTTTGAAGTACCTATACTTCGCGCATTGTTATGTAAACTATATGAGATATTTATATTTCAACTTTATGGTCCTCAATCGAGCAGACATCCACAAAATCATTTATTTCTGAATGTTCAACAATAACTTTTTTTTTTCTCTTGGAGCGCACGAAAGGAAATTCCTATTATGTTCGTGGAACATCGTGCGTACCTAGGGAGGATAGGGGGAGACCTTTTAAGCAAGTTCAACACTATTTTCAATATCAAGCTAAGCATATTTTCACTTAAGAACTATATTTTTTGACGTTTGTAGAAAAAATTTTGTTTGCAACTCGAGCGCGAAATACTCGGCTACGCCTCGTTAAAAAAATCAGATCTCGATCACCAAAGTAGCATTTCGCGCTCTAGATACAAAAATAACTATTTAACACGCTTTTATTAGCTGGTATGTATGTTTGTATTGGAAAAATCTTCCAACGTGATTTTGATTCCACTTCAAAACTTCAAATTGAGCGATTTTTCCATTTCTGGAATGAAATGGTGAATGGTGGTCCGCCACCAAAATTTCAAATGCATATTTTTCTCCTTAGAAAAACTGTCCACAATGCTTTTCATATCCATCAGAGACACAGCAGTATTTTGTACTAATTATTACTGGTATGAATAGTTATATCCAGATGAACGAGTGAAACTTCGCACATTTCTCATCAAAAACCGATGACAATAGCGTAATATGATAGTTTTGTTCCATCATCCTGATCAGGATCGATTTTTACATCCAGAGACAATGTCTTGCACCAAATACTCGTTTGAGAGAAAGAAGAAAGACAGAAGATAGAAAGCCAACAGTAGCACAAACAGCCACTTCCACTGAAGAGCGGTTGTTGCAGAAAGTAGTAAAAAGTAAAAACATGCTTTTTTATAGTTATAGCCGAACTACAAAATGTAAAGCATAAATAGTAGTTCGAAAAACAGTTGACACTTTTTTGGAGATAGCCAAACTACAAAAGAATTGAAACTAAAATAATAAAAGTGTTTTGATAGATACACAATATCCAAAACATTTGCACTTACGTCATCAGTATTTTCTGTCGTTGTCTTTTCATAAACACTCTTTCATGTTTTTATTTTCAACTCTTTTCAGTTTGGCTATCTATAAAAAACTGTTTGTTTTAGATTCCTAAACTACGTTTCATTTTTGATATTATTAATCTGCCTCATTTAATATGAATCTTGGGATTTTCATTTGAAGTTACCATCCAATATCATTATTATTTTTCATTTTCAGGTCGAAGGAATATTTGTGGCATGTACAGCTACGCAGACCTTATCACTCAAGCGATAACATCCTCCCCCAACCGGAAGTTGACCCTTTCTCAGATCTACGACTGGATGGTCGAAAACGTCGCAATATTCAAAAACAGAACTGAAAACTCAGCAAGCTGGAAGAATTCCGTGAGACATAACCTATCTTTGCACAACAAATTCGTGAGGATTCAAGGAGCGGAGAATATCAAAGGATCTTGGTGGACTGTTGATCCTGATGCCAAACAGACCAAATCAGGTGAGAAAAATGAATATTTTAAAAGTCATTTAGTGCAGAAAATATGAAAGGAAATTGTTCCCCGTGAATTTTCTTTGACTTTGCCAATATTCAGGTAGACAGACGGACTCACTTGAAAAATTAAAGAAGAAAGGGTAGATAATGAGGAACCTCTTTGATATAGTGTACTGAAGAATCCTTAATCAAAAGAAAACAAGAATAATGCGAGAAACAAAGATCGAGTAAAAGGATTGCATTTCTGTCATTTCTCTGCCCACAATTTTCATGGTCCTGAAGTCAAAAATCGCTCAGCTTGTTTGCTTGTTTAGTTGTTGAAGTTTATGGAGTCGTATATTTTCTTGACTATTTCATGGTGTATTTACCTATCGACATGCGTATTCCAAAGTATCACACTAGTATCAGATGTTATAACGAGAGTTAGTATAGCAAGATAATTATCAACAATAATATCACGATGTTCTGAATATTCGAGATGATGAACCTGGTTTTTGACACTTAGTAAATAAAAGAGAATATATTGATAACGAAATAAATAATAACGGTAGCAAAGTGAAATATTGAACAAAAAAGAACTCCAAAAATAGGTAATCTTCAAGCATGCATCATGTTTCTGCGATGCAATTATTATCTAATATTCACAGTACGACTTGATACTTGATTTGATACACGTGGAGTATTTATGATGCCATTTGAAACATTTTTTCTGTGACGGGAAAAAACTTTGGCATTTCATCTCTGTTGGCAGATTATAAAATGTCACTTTTCATAAATTACTTTTTTCCGTGGAAAAGGAGTGAGTACTTTTTTCCCGGATATTTATCTAATATATATACACTGTTGATGGCTTTTGTTGTGCTATAGTTCCGAAAAATGAGTAAATAATACCGTCTCCGAGAAAGAACTGCAAGTCCTTTTATCTTCCATTCGACTTCGCGGTTACGTATATTACCTACTAAACAACCAATAAATTCTCAATGTTTTTAAATCAAATCACAAAATTAGACTGACAGAAGTGACATCAGATATTCGATAACTTCAAAAGAATGATATAGATGACAACAACGCAGGTGTCCCTATACTGTTAAAAACTTAAAATTTCACGACGATAATTTTCAGATTTCAAAATGCTGTAATATCTTCTCAATATTGATTCGTCCTTTCTTCTGTCACAGAAAAAAATAGTATATTATACACGGGAGACAACACAACCTAGAGCTAAAATCTACTACTTTTTTTCCTTGTATAATAAATAACTATTTTATGTTGTTCAATGTGAGCATATATTGAGATTGGAAAACATATAATCATTGTAAGTGTTATTCATCCTATTCTGAACAAACAATGTTCATATAATTGAAGTACATTTTTATCTTCCTGTTTATTTTGTTAGTTCGAATTCATACTGACAATAATCAGATATAATTAGAATTTGAGGATCGTAAAGCTCATTCTCAGAGTCGATATATACACCCATTTAAACATGTTGAAGGTAAAACTCGTGAATTCATTCACGAAAAATCACCCCCATACAATTCGCAACGTGTAGAATTTCGAAATTATCATCAAAACTTTGGTTTCCTTGTTGTCGTATGTTGAATTTGTTTTCATTTTCAAAAACTTCATCTTATATTGATGAATGCGCTGATTAAATGTACGACCTGTCTGACCGATATATAGGTACCTACCTACCTTATGACAAGATCCACATTTAAGTTTGTATACCCCTGATTTTTCGAATTCAGAAGTTTTGTCTTTATTATTTTTGATAAACCTTTCCAGAGTGTTAATTGTTCTGGATGCAACTTTTAAGCCCTGTTTATGTAGAAATGAAACTAATTTTTCAGTTGATGATCCGAAATAGGTTGAAATTCTATAATTTTGATTATTATTTTTGATGGTAGGAACTGTGCCGAACTTGAAAAGTTGCTTGAACTTTTTATAGTAACTCTGTATATTTTTGCGTGTGATATTCTGAGATATTCAAAAATGCGAATCTGTCGAAAAATAACTGACATATGACAGGATGAAAACAAGTGTGTTTTCACATGTGGATTCCGATTTGCTTGCGTTCTATTGGTTTGCTTGTATATTCGGTTTGAAAAATCGATAATATCTTCATCGTTTCAGATTTGCCTGAATATTTTGATGAAAGCTTCATTAAAATTCAATGTACAAGAAAAATAATGAGAACATAATTGAAATACAAACGTTTGAGAAGATCAAATATATCTCCTCATGAGCTTCATGATGTTCTCCCATTTCTGTGAACCCTGGCCTCCGAATCATTCCACAAAAATTACCTTTTGCTTCAATTCCCTTTCATATTCATCTCTTATTTTGCTATTGAACATTTTTTTTCGTCGACCACTACAGAACTAAACATTTTCCTCTCTAATTTCCGAACAGAGAACCGACTTTTTTCGAAGGAAAGTACTTTTAGTCCACTAACTTTTCGTCCGCTGTAGTTTTGCCATTTCTACTGAATTTTCAGTAGATCTTCTGATCTGCATACTGATCTAGTGAAACATTTCGTAACCTATTGAAATATATGTTGACACTAATTCATTATTATAATTACCTATAATATCATTAATCTATAGTTAATCACATACACTCATAAATTGCATGATATTCCGGCACGCTGTTTGAATTGGTTTTACAAAATAAGTAATAAATCAACATATAGGTACTAATGATGTGTATAAAGCAAAAAAGGACAATACTTTATCTGATTCAGTTCAAATCCAGATTTCTTTATATACCTCTGTTATATATTACAATTTATTATTTGTTCTGTATTTTTGTTGTTCATTTTTATTATTGTTTTCTGTTTTTCACATACTCAAATCTTATAAGTACCTATGGTGTGATATTCGTGAGTATTTCCAAATTGAGAATTAGGAATAAAATATTTTTTTATGAGAATGTTACTTGTTTTGTTCGTTTCTATTTTGTTGAAACAAGAATACTTTTCTGATTACTAAAAGTGCGTCATAGGTTTATTTCATTAGCATTTCTTGGAATTCGTGTAGCATGAAATAGTTTTTTTTTTCTTTTGACTCGGCCGTTACTCAATGGAAATCTATAGCAAATGTAAAAACTTCACAAATGATGAGATTTTCACAAAAAAATGTCTTAGTCGTCACACTCAGTAGCCTCGTCCGGTGGGATACTGGTACAATGAAAAATTAGATCTGAATTTTTGACAAGGTATTTACTGATTACATAAAAATTGAACTGGCAACCCTGGTCCACGCTAATAGTGAGTTGACAACACCTGTCATTTAATATTGTCAATTCAAATATTCACGAAATCCGATGGATTTGAATATAAGTGTTCGAGGTCGACGAAAAAATGTAATATGTAGGCGAAAATATGTCTATTGTCTCGCCTAATTGCTAGCCTCGGCTAAGGCCTGGGCTATCAATTTGGGGACTCGACTATAATAGACACTTTTTCGTCCTTGTTACATAAGTAAATAAATATTTTTCGAATTTCTCATTTCCATAAGTTTTCCATGTTCAAATATAATGCCGCAGTTTTCAGAATCCATCGTATACCTAGTTCATAATATTTCTGCAGCAGGAGTTCGAATCGGCTCGAGTAGAATGTTGGTTCAATTCAATATCAAACTGATGAGGAGTTTAACGGTTTTTTTTTATTTGCAAGGTAGGCGACGCTGCTCTTCCATGGAATCCTCAAAAATGGAGGCGAAAAGAACTCGAGTAAGACGGCTCCTAAACACCAGGCTCGACCACAGCCAGCAACCTGCCGAACATTTCCAGCGCCCCATGCCTGCGTACCAAATGAATCCAGCTTTCAGATCCAGGACGTACTCTAACGGCTCGACTTGCAGCAAACTATCTCCCATACCGTCCGAAGAGACTCTAACAACGCTAGTACAGACTTCCCCGGAAACCATGGAGTACCAGCATCATTACCCCTGTTACCAAATGAGTCCGGCATTTCGACAAAGAGCATACTCCAGCGGATCTTCGTGCGGGAAATCGTCTCCACTGTCTGGAATGGAGGTACAGCACAACCCTGAATACACCTATGAACTCAGCCCAGCTTACAGAGCAAGAGCTTACTCCAGTGGTTCGTCTAGTGCTAGTGGAATGGTATCCCCAGGAACCCAAGAATTTCATCAACAAATGATGGATGAAGAAGGTAGAACGTATGATGTGCTGACCGATAGTTTCCAGCAAGGTCTGACTATGCAATCATACAATCCCGTCCAAGATCAACAATCGTATTCAAATAGCACGAAAATTATTGTTGATAACAATATTGGATACCAGTATACCATCAATGTTATTGAGCCTCCTATGCAACAAAGGCCCCAAACTTTGGAGCTATCAGGTTCTAATTCATCGGTAGATATAAATACCATCAAAGTTGAAACTATGAGAACTCCGTTGGAATGCAATGTGGACGAAGTAATCAAACAAGAGCTAACTATCGAAGGAGTATTGGATTTCAACTGATGTGGTGTGAATGTTGTTTCACAATGTATATAAATTATAATAAAGCGGATCTTCTAATGGGAAGTCATAGACACTCTCAGCAAAGGGATAGAGGTCATACAGCACAACTCTGAGTACGCCTTCAAACTCAGCCCAGCCTACTTTAGTGATGGTTCGTTTAGTGGAATAGTATCGCCGAGAAGACAAGTTTGTTAGCAAATAATGGATGAAGAAGGTAGAACGTATGAAGTGCTGACCGATAGTTCTCAGCATGGTCTGGCTGTGCAGTCATTCAATCCCGTTCATATTCAAATAACACGAGAATGATTGTATAAATAAAAATGAATAAGTGACTGCTTTATTGGAGTGTAATGTGAATGAAGTTATCAATCAAGAGCTAACTATCGAAGGAATATCGGATTTCGATTAACGTGGTGTAAACATTGTTTAACGATTTGTATGAATAATTCAAAATGGAAGCCTATCAGAGGAAGACAACCATTGATGATCGTTCGAATGATTCATGTTCCATTCTCATATAAAAGGAAGAAATGTTGGATAATTATGAAATAGTTGCGGAAAAACAATGTTCGAATTTATTATTCATTCTGTTTGCATTGATCAGACTGCTTCTAGTAAGTACCTTCACTTGTAGAAGTTTTTTCTCACCCCTTCTGAAGATGATAATTTTCATTTATTGTGTTAAAAAATGTATTCATAATTTTTCAGGATCGAAGCAAAGTTACAAGTATTTTTAGAATTTAATTTGTTATAATAATATTGGTTAGGTTAAGATATTTGACCCCAGTGACTACTATAAAATTATTGATAATATGACGATGAGTATACCTCAGAAATAATGGGTTTCCCTCTTCTCTCACCTTAGTTAACTTTTGAACGGCTGGGAATTTTGTTTATTATTTCATTTACAACCATAAATGTAATGTTGATATTACTAATGTCATTGAAGTTTAAAGTGAGACACGCTGAACATATTCAGAAAGATAATTTTTTATTGGAATCAAAATCTAGTACTTTAAGTATCATAGGAGCAAATTCAGAACTTTCGAAAGTTAACCAGGAGGGGGACACTCTCTGGAGACAGCTTATAATGAGTGCGATTTCCAAGAAAATATTGTAACATATTGATAGTCGATTTTTGTACTTAATAAATGAAGAATAAGTACCTATGTATTCTAATTTTGTTTCATTCTCGTGTTTATATTCTTTATTGAAGTGTTTAACAATCCTGCTGATTCACCAATCGAAAGGAACTAGCAAACGCCATCAGATCCGACTAATGTCGTATGCAGGATTGAACAGAAGATGGTTTAGAAACTCCTATCGAATCCCACCTACTGTTTTCGGTCAAAGTTCTTGAGCTACGGCCTACTTGACAGAAGGATTATTTTCAATATCGCGGAATATAGGTCGCATTTCACCCGTTAGATGGCTAAATCCCAACCAAAATTCATGGTTGGTAGAACTGATAATAATAAAATTTTTCCAAAATTACAGTTTTGTACTTTCAAATTCAATCTCATTTCATTTGAGGTTATGTTATAAATGTTATGATATTATCAATTCTGGTGCAAGCGGTGTGATAGAACTGTTTTCTGTCTTCAAAGAAATCTGTAAAAAGTGTCGCCATCTTGCGGAAAACTGAGAATTAATATGTCATTATTGCGGAATCTGCGGTCAAGGGTTTCGGGAGAAACAAAACATTGTCTGTACAACCATATTCGTTGAACTCACATGTGGAATTCATTATGCCCATTATACAGGGTGAGTCATTATACGTTTGTGTGTGGTGTCCGTTCCACGACAAGAGGGTCCAACCAGGAAAAAACGTCGTCTGAGAGTAGACTGTAGAGCACATCCTAAGCGAAACTATATTATATTTCAATAGTAGACGGAAACTGAATAGAGCCTTATGTATAGGCATTTAAATTTTCCATATCCACACTTTTTCGCTACAGACAGATTGGATTAGAATAGATTCACAGTCTAAGTGGAATCTCCCGTGGGCACAGGTGTGTCACAATGGTTTAACGCCATCTAGACTACACTGGGTGTCTCAGGTTTAACTCGTCTAACTCTGACAATCGATAGCAAAAAATTAGGATATTATATACGTATTTTTTTGTTTGGTCGTGGGGACAAAGAAAATGAAAAACCAAAAATGTATGCGAACTTTAACACCCCGTATAATAGACACAAGTTTCTCCATGACAAAACAGAAAAATACGTCTAATATTTTGATTTTCGCTATCGATTATCAAATAAGTTACACGAATTAAACCTAAGACAGGATAGGTGGGGTAGTCGGTTAATGTAATTGTTCACAAACGATAAGATTTCGGCAAAATTCCTAATCACACGATATGTTTCGCTAACACAGTAGCTTCTTCAAGTACGAATTCCATGCACATATACAGATTACAATAATTGAGAGAACTGTTAATTGTTGTAACAAATGTTGAACATAAGTCGGTCATACAATAATAAACATCACGAAATGTATTTTTTCCTTTCTAAAAAATAATCAATGCAGAATTCAAGATCCAGATATCTTTATTTACATAATATTATATACATATTTGTATCCTGATGAGCTTGACTCTCATATACTATCGTATCATTTTCATTTGAACAAAAATCACAGGCAATTTTCGACTTCTTACATAATGACAAAGTTCTCATCTTCTGGATCGCATGAAATGGAATTTCCATATAAAGATGATGGAACATTCTGAAGGAGAGATGTTGAATATCTAAATATATAGGTGAATAGGTATCAGTCACAATCTTTCTTCATATCCTCATATACAGGCATCAATTTCTTGATGGCAGCTTGAGTACCTTCATAATGGAACTCATATTTTTCATCTTCAGTCATCCTCTTTAGGATTCGACACTTCATATTCCTCTTCACTAACTGTCTCAGACTTCGTTCAAGAGCTTTCGCTACAGCCGAAAGTTTGTTGGCTTGTTTTTTCTCCATTTTTGTCCGATATATGAACACTTTTTTCACAGCTCTACTAATTTCCAAGTATTCTACTTTATCCTCCATATTATTAGAGTTTTGACAACGGACCTGAGATTTCTTCTTCGCTGCCATCAGACGTTCCAAGTACGTTGGTAACTCTCCTTGATTAGAAAGTGAAGCCATTTTTCGTTATATCTGATTCGTGATTGTAAGATGGATGAAAACGAATTGGTTATCAGTCTACCCAGTTATAGACATTAATGATGAACGTACAGTTCATTCATGTCATTTATATCAATCTTGTGCAATAATGCGTATACCTATAGGAATCCTTGATAGTAATCCTAAATTATCTCCCCAGAAGATTATAGGAATCTCATCATCTGACCCAATATTGATCTCTAAATTTGATAAAGCTTAGGCAATAATGCAGGTAACGTCCTTACTAATCCTCCCTCAAAATATTGGATTATTCAAAGAAAGGTATTCATCATAGATATATCAGTTGTATATAATTAGGCGGTAATGAGACTAGATTTTCTTGTCCTTCTAATTTATTCAGGTATAATACCTAAATTATTGATCAGTTGAATATTTTGTCTTAAATGGAATAGTACTTACCTATTCCTGTATACCTGTTGAAAAGGACAACATTAGTTGTGTAAAAAAATGTTGATATCTAATTTGATATTCATCAATGTTGTAATAATTGCGGATGATACTGTGTCTGCAATTGGTATCAAAGTTATTTTATATATATTATATATCACATAAGGTTATAAGCAATATGGCACAAGCTTACGAATGTTCCGAGTATCAGATTTTCCTCAGGTCTTCTGATAAATGAGAATTTTATCATTATGAGAATTTGTGCCGGAGTCAGGATAGCAACAGTGTAGATCTTCGGACGGAAAAAGGATTTTTTCCAAATTTCATTTGATCCCTAGTTCCCATGATGTAAGCGCAGGACTTCAGGATGTGATAGCTCTTATCATCAAAAATGCACCATTTTCGAGATACAGGGTGTTGAAATTTAGGAAAAAAATAATTTTTATCTTAATATCTCTAGAACCAATCATCGCACAAAAAACAGCTTTTGTTAGCATTTTCTACCCATAATAGTTTTCTGCAGGATTTTTTTTTTTTAAACTTGGTGAAGATTTTGAAAGAGTGATGGGTGTCGTTTTCTCAACTTCTACGCCACTGGAACAAGTCGAAGTCGTTTATTTGAACCGCCCATGTTTACTAACACTAATGAATCGACCGTTTTATAGAAAAATCAATTTTCATGTTGAAAATCATAGTCTACTTTTTGAATTACTTTTTTTCACATACAGCAATTCTTCAAAAAATGTACCATGTTTTTCAACATAAAAGTTGAATTATCTCGAAATGGTCAACTTTAAATCTTATGACCAAGTGTACCCATTTTATGTAGAAAACACCGACGGTTCAAATAGATGACTGAAATCTTTACTTGTTTTAGTGACGTAAAAGTTGGGGAGGAAAACATCCAATATCCCTTCAGAATATTAACATATTACGACTTGAAAAAAATCAGCACAAAACATAGCTTATTATGAGAAGAAAAAGCTGTTTTCTGTGCGATAAACTGTTCTAGAGATATTCGCAAATAACGATTTTTCTTCTTAATTTCAACACCCTCTGTATCTCGAAAATTATAGAGGGTATAAGTTGGAATGAACTTTTTCCATATTTTTGGACAAACTATCACATCCTGTGCATATATATGATGAAACAGCCTTTGGATGTCACCCTGTATACCTCTATTCGAATTTGTTTTACTATCTTATAAAGAATTCAATGTGTAACTTCAATGAACATCATTCAAATTAGGTACCGAGAGAATTTTAGATTTTTTTCTCGAATATGGTGCACCCATCAATCAAAATTTGACAAGTACTATATAATAATCAATAGCTATTTATATATCAAGCGAGCAAATATTAAACACGACGTGTTGTCCAACTCGGCCTAACGGCCTCGTCGGACAATTTCACGTCGAGTGCAA